TTTTCAATCAGTTTGTTGACAACATTTTTTCACAAGAGGAAGTGGATCGAGCTGAATATTACCTTTACAAGTGTCTTTCCTCCAGATGTGAACTTTGAGACATACAAGTAAATACTATGAAGCCTTGACATTTTAAGGCTCCAACTCTTTCCATTACACTGGCTTAGATTTCTGTGTTTCAAAACAGGTGCATCTGCTTGTCTTGTAACTCAGTGCCAAGGGTCTTTTGAAAACTGCTTTTGTTTGAGCTGTTCTCTTTCCTGACCTCTGGCATTGACAGCAGTGAAGCCTGCTAGTGTGAGCCACTGAACAGCTCATACAGCTGCCATAGATGACTTAAATTAGGGATGCTGAAATCATAAGGAATTTTGTCTAGTTACAATTTTTCCTTCTGTTGCTTTTTTTCCCCCTAAGTCACAATATAACTAAATTGGCACTGCATGTGTTTGCGTGTGTAAGTGTAGTACTCAGAGAAGCTTCTAAGTTTGTTTCCTCAGAATGAGCGGACCTGGGTTGCTGTGGTAATGATCAAGTCAGCAAGATTTAAGAAAGTGTAGTTGTTTATCCACAAAGAACTGTATGTGTTCCAGATAAGCTGTGTAGTCCCCCTTATGCAAGGGTTTGGGGTTTTTTTTGCAACTCTTTTTATGATTATTGAAGTATGTTTGGTACCTTTTCTGCTAGCATCAAGTTGAGTGCTTGCTTGTGTCAGGTCAAAACATTTCAATATTGACTCTGAGAACCTTGTAACACTCAGTACCAGTATGTTCTGTGTTTGATTAAGGAAGGAGACCTGCTCACTGACACTGAACACCTTCCCCATCCCCATTCCTTTTTTCCAAGGTTGCAAGATCAGTAACCAGTGTCCTGCTGCAGACAGGACACTGCAGCCCTTATGGCTTTAGGGTCCAGCAGACTGCTACCATGTATTTTAATTTTTAGAGCTAAACCTTGGGACTGGGACATTCAACCAACAGCAGTTGTAATAAAAAAAGATTGTGCACAGCCCTGGTTATAGAGACCTTCCACTTTTTTACTACTCTGAACACTGCATAAACTCAGACTGGTCTTGGCTCTCCCCAGGAAGTTTTCTCTTGCCATTTGTATCTTTCTTTTCACTATGTTTTTAGCAATGGTATTTGTTTAGTCACTTCCATTTACTGAGAAGAGACTTCAGATTCTTGAAATCAATGTTTCTGTGGCCTTGAGAAATGTACTGTTCTATTCCACTGCCAAGCAAAATCCACACCACTCCCGTGGTTTTAGTCTACTTACTCATTGGGTCCCTTCTCAGCCATCAGAGCTGCTACTTCGTTCTATGCGGAGGGACAGTTGTACTCTTAATACCAGGCCATTGCTAAGTGGACACGCAGGGGTCTTGGCCAGTTGCATATATTACTTTTATGGTGCAGGTTTTGGTACAGAGCAGCCCCTGGCAGCATATTCTTCTGTCAGTATTTTCCTATTCCAGTGAAAAATAGTGTAGCTTGCATTTAATCACCACATACTCAAAAAAGTGCTTCCAGGAGAGAAGCCATGTAGTTTTCATAGAATCATAGAATCATAGAATGCTTAGGGTTGGAAGGGACCTCGAGAGATCATCTAGTCCAACCCCCCTGCACATGCAGGGTCACCTAGAGCACGTGGCACAGGACTGCATCCACGCGGGTTTTGAAGATCTCCAGAGAAGGAGACTCCACAATCTCTCTGGGCAGCCTGTTCCAGTGCTCTGTCACCCTCATTGTTAAGAAATTTTTCCTTAAGTTCCTATGGAATTTTTGATGTTTCAGTTTCCGGCCATTTCCTCTAGTCCTATCAGTGGCCACCACTGAAAAGAGACCATCCTCGTCAGCAGTGCCAACCTTTCCTTAAGACTCAAGAAGTGTTGAAATACTAACATCAAAGTATTGCTTCTTCACGGGGAAAATCGAGCTGAATAAAGGGCTAAGAGCTGTATACAAACTAATGCCACTGATGTGGACACCTGGATACTTGAGTAGAGCCTTGCAAGTGATGGAGAATGTAGCTTCCTTACCAGGGGACAGCAAAATCTGCAAAGAAACTGTATTAGGACAGTAAGAAACTTAACAGAAAGAATTTCTTATAAGCCTAACTGCAGTGAGACCCATTAATTCCCTGCCCTGCTAATTATAAGATACCAAGCCTTTCCAGAGCCAGCAATTTTTCAAAGGTCTTGGGAGGGTGGGGGAAGAAATAACATTTATAACAGAACCATTGCCTCAGTTCTCAAGGCAGCAGTGATATTTACTAGCAGTTCCTTGGGCATGAGCACCCGCTGTTGCCACAAGCTATTATAGCATGTTCTTGAGCCTCCTTACCTAGGCACTGACTCTGTGTCTAGGCAAGAAAATGTCTAGAATAAGCTGAGCTCAGTATAGCAGAGGTTGGGGAGACTCTTTCGTTGCCCAAGCTTTGGGGCTTGCTCAGAGACACAGCAGTGAGGGTGAAATGGTACACTCTCTGTCTTGCCTGGCTACATGCCTGCAGCATGTGCCCTTGAGGTGGTGCCCTGTCTTGACTGATGATAGTCCAAAGGTGCTGCAGGGTGGTTTCTAGAAGGGCTCTGGTGCTGTCAGATGGGGAGGATGGATGAACTAAGGCTGTTTGCAAGGTCATTACTGACTAAGGGACTTGATGCTTAGGAGTACTCTAGGCTTCAGGCTGTGCCTGGAACCAGCCAGCATAGACAGAGTAACTTAGCAAAGCACCATCACATGGGTTGGCCCACAGAAACAGCACTGATGCTCTTCCCTTCTTGGTACATTTTACTGGAGGGCTGTCTGCTAATGGGGGTCTTTCCTTTGCCAGTACCACTACTAGGCATAGATTCTTTGCATTTCCCAGGGCTGAAGGGATGAGGAAGAGGACACTCATGTCCTCTCCCTGCTATCCAGGAGCTAGGGCACTGCTCAGCAGGCTCTCCTGGCATTCCCTCCTCCGAAGCAGCTCTGTGCAATACTGGAGAAGGCAAGGAAGGAAGCAGTGCTCTACCCGCCATAGGGAATAGCTCAAAGAGCTCAATCTCTCTTTCTAATAAGTACTTAACTGTTGTCTGACGTATGACACAACTCTGGGGAACACAGCTGAGCACCCCAAGGACCATAGACAGAGAGCTCACCAACCACTATTTGTGAACTATTTGTATGGGTGTTTAACAGAAAGAAAGCCAGAAGACTTCTCAGTTAGCTATTTTGGAGGACTTGACATTTGAGCATTACTTCTGCTTACAAACCCTAGACAACCTTCTGGATTACAGACAAACATCCTAGTGCTGAAACTAGTTTGGGTCTTTCTGTGGTGAATCAGATCTAATCTAGTTTCTTCCTTCTGTGTCTGTACTGATGCAGTGAAATAATGATCTACAGTAAAACCTACCAAAGCTTTCTTGGCAGACACACTTCTTATCTGTTCAGTAAGCTGTAGGGTTTTAATCTTATCTGTCATTCAAGAAATTATGAAATAAGGTTGTTACTGATTACTCATTGCTGCAAGTGTCACCATACAAAGCTAGTATTAGTGTCCAAAAGGTAATAACTGTTACAACCACCTGAAACTGTTACAACTTCCCCGAAAAGATTTTTGGCCTGGTTTAGATTTTAGGTAGCAACGTTAAAACAACAGTGCAAGTCATGAAAGCTTCACCAGGACCAGAGATCTTGACATTAACAAAAAGGATTTTACTCCAAAGCATTTTTGTGACTCCAGTACAAAAAAAAAAAAAAAAGTAAAATATGTTAGCCCATATCCTTCTTTAGTATAAAGTAATTGCAGTATATTGATTTGCATCATCTGTTCTTTTCTACCTAAATGCTCATTAAGAGCTTACTATTAAAAAATCTGTACAGATATTTTTAATGATTACCTCAAACTAAAATACAATATTCCCAAGGGTGAAGGAATAATAGCACTGACCAGGTCAATACTGGGGGTCATTCAGTTGCCACTGAGGTTGCTAGCAGATAGGATAGAAACAATCTTAGGTGTCATAAACCTCCTTTTCCTGTAGTATTCTGGGCCTCTGTGGGTGAAGCTAAATAGACCACTCTGCAGTTCTTGTAAATCCATGTCATGGCCTTGATACACAGAAACCACTATGACCATGCATGCCTGCACAACAGCAGTCTCATTTGAAAAATCACACTATCCTGCTTTGCACACTTATTCTTTTTCAAAATGTGGCTTTATCTTCTGGTTGAAGAAACTGCATTATCTAAAAGAGAAGTTTCGGATAAACTTTCATAATCGTGCAGTTTTGGTGTCTGCATTTTCAAGTGATTTGGCACCTGTGGAGAGCCACCTTGCTTCCCTTCAGACTTTGAGCAGTCATGTACCTTTGGCTAGCTGTTTCTCTTCCCTGTGCTATTACTATCATAACAATGCAATGGAAGCTTTTTTATAGTGTTGTGCTATATTGTTTTAAACTGCAAACAGGTAAGTTAAGTCATACATTTGAGGGGAGGGGGGATTCTCTGAGAAACTCTCCAAATAAGACACTATGTATTTGCAAGCACACATTTAGGGCTTCGTTGCTTTTTTCATCCCATTTCACTATTAATAGCTTATTTTATATATCTGTATATGTATCCTCATTATAAATATATATAGATAGATAATTTATGGTATCATTAACAGTGGTATGATATACATTCCAGTGTAAAAAAAAAAAATCTGTTATATCAAATCAGCCTTTTTATTCTTTTAAGCATTATATATTTATGCTAGGAAAATGAAACCACAGGTATCAAGATTCCTTTTTTTCCTCGCCCCCCCCCCCCCCCCCCTTCTCGGAGGAAAGTGTCATAAGTTCAAAGGTTACAGTTATTTCATCCTACTGATAAACATGCAGAATTAGGATTCACGGAAGGATAATAGCTCTTCACATTAGTAAAGGCTGACCTTTAAAATGCAGGTAGAATGCATTCACTAATTTCAGTTATAAAAATCATGTTATTTCCAAAACTGCAGCAATATCCATATAGCAATTCCATCTTCTGTATCAATAATACATACGGAAATAATATACCAAGTATCTTAATGACATTAATGCATTATTTTGGTACAATTGCAATTAGATAGGAGAGGGTGGTTCTCTTAGTATCTTAACATGGGAGTAACATGAAGAGAAAAAGGATGTTGGAGGTTTAAAAAAATAAATAAATAAAAGCCTATACCAAGATGATGCATGCCTACGTTCCCCATTATCCAATGGACAGAAATTAATTTTATTATTGCTAAAAACATGCTTTCTCCTGCTTATTTTCACTGAAGAGGGACTGTGATGACCTATTGCAGATTTTATTGATTATATTGTTTTGAATTTATAAAATATAAAAAATAAAAGTAATATATCTGTAACTATATCAAGCTAGTGCTGTTATCAATGTAACTACCATTCAGAGTTGGCATTTATGGCCAGATATCAGGCCAAGAGGGATTGTTTGTCTAATGCCTGACACATGCAAATACCAGTCGCCTCCGAGTTGCAGAGTGTTTTACTGTTGACAGGAGATGGGGGGGCTGGTCTGACCCACGTACAGTATACAACACATTTCCTCCAATAGCAAGCTTATTTCCTTATTTCCTTTTAGAATTTGGTTTTCTTTTTATCGTATAAAGCAGTAACCTCAAAATACACGTTAACTTGTGAGCTGTTTGTAAATGTGACAGCATTATTATTCAGATTGTATTTCCAAACTTTGTGCTAACGATGACAAACACAATCGTTCAGATTGATATTGTGGAGACCATCTTGCAGTCTGCCCTTGAAGCAAAACCTGATCCAGAACCAACAGAAGCTGAGAAGGCAGAGCAGAAGCCACAGTGGGAAGAGTCAGAAGAAACTGAGCAGTCTAAAATACCTGATTACTACAACCGATTCAAGGTAGATTTTCTTTCATTTAACTATTACTAAGCTGTAGTAGATCTCCATAGTATGTATCAGTAAATAAATATACTCTCTTAAGATGCTAGCAGACTGACACCCCTTCAGTGCATCAGGAGCACTACCTGGCATTTTTGAAACTGATGTCACATTACATTTTTACTGCCTTGAACAGGAAGCAGCCTTCAAAGAAATAAATGCTCAAGGCCACTCGTCTTTTGTCTGCCTGCTGGGATTTTATCTTCACTTTTCATACATCAAACTGATAAATCCAAATCCTCTTTGCTAAAGTGGTATGTCATTACAGATTCATTATCTGACCTTGCATAGGCTTTTGCTCATTAAAATAAATTGTACTGGGAATGAGATGAATTTATTGTCCATTTATGTATGTTATCATTAAGATTGTTGCATCCTATGCTTTTCAGTCTGGGGAATTAGTGATAAAAGAAAGGGGTTATAGCCTTACCTAAGTCTTCACACCGCTGCTAACAATGTGGAATACAAACAGTTGGTTATTAAGGCACAGCTGTATAATGAGACCATTTTATGCGATCGTCTGCAATTTTGTGCTGTGTGAAAGTCAGATTGCCCAGGTTTAATATTAACCTGGGCTGTAGTTCTAGGAGTAGTGCTCTTTCTTCAGCATATCACATTTTGTTGTTGCTGTCACAACCCTGGACAGTTATTCTAGATACAGACGGCTCTTCTAAAGAAAATTTAGAAGCTAGAACACTAGCATCCTGTGGTTTCACCTTATAAACAGACACATTTCCCTTCTTCAATTTTTATTTACATGAATTATTTACCACTAATCTTCAGATATTAAACTTGTTTCAGAGGCACTTAGGAGTTTTTAATTAAAGTCTCTGGGAATCAGTGGGTGATCAGCATGTGATAATTAATGCCCGGGTGAATTGCTGTCAGATGGATAAACACAACTGCCCTTTGAAGGAAGGAGTGAGGCATTTTCATGAGTCTTTCATTGTCTAGCCTACAAAGAAGATAATTCAGAGTGCTCAAAACATGTCATGATGTGAAGCAAACGGGCACATGAAAAAATCCATCGAATTACACTGTTCAGTAGCAAGTGCCTTGACAGAGGGCCAACAAACCAGAGTATCCAGCCTTGGCTCTAACACTTTGCCAGAAGAGCCTGAATGGAAGGAAGACATAACCCTAGTGTGAAGCCTAGGTATCCAGCAGTAAGTTCCATATAAGCAAGATTCTTCTCATGTAGGCAACTGAAAAACTGAGATCTCAGGTCATTTCAACTAAGTCTAGAAAACCCCTCTGACCCCTCTCTCGTCTATTATGCTATGTGCAGCCAGTCTTCTGGCTGAGTCCCAGGACACTCACACAGTAGGTGTAGTTCACAGACCTGAGATGACTGTTGCCTAGAGATCCATCAGCTCTGAGGCAGGTGGCAGTTGTGAAGCAACCTGGTAAGATGGTGGCATTCACAGCCACTTTCCCAGCACAGCCCCTCCACCCCTCATATGAAGTAACCAGCAATGAAAGCAGGACTGCTGCTGTAAAGCAGTTTGTCCAGTCTTGCATGAGCCAGCGTGTCTTTCCTCATGTACAAGCAGGAGACAGAAGCGTTTGACCAGTTCTCCTTCACAAGTTATACAACTGGTTAGGATTATTACTGATCCCTCACAGCTCAGAAAATCTTTATTTTGCTCTCTCATATAACATCCAGGTCAAAAAAAAAAAGTCTATAGAGGATAAATACTATAAAATACTCTTTCTTTACCCCCTCCCTCCACCCACCCACATTCTCTGTAATGAAAATGAGAAGACGATTAGGTTTTAGTGATGATTTTTTGCAGGGCAAGTTAATTCTTTTAACCTGTCAAATATGTGCTCTTGGTGCACATGTTTGGGCACTATTACTGTTTTCATGCTTCTTGCAGTATACACGTGGCTTAGTCAATAGTCCATATGTATAGAGACCACCTTTCCACTCCATGTCTTTCTTCACAGTGTAACTCGATGGATTTTTCATGTGCCCGTTTGCTTCACATCATGACATGCCCAGCTTTTGTACACATATTTTAACTTCATGTCTACTTTCAACTAAAAGATCAGCCATTTGTAGAAGTACCTGCAAGAAAACATGTCAGCCCAACTAACAAATAAAATGTTGCATGAGAGGCAGCAAGTCCTTCTTTTGCAACAAAAGAAATAGTACTTGAGAGCATTTGGCTCTTTTTAGATAAGCTCTGGAGCTGTAATTTGAACTCTGTGTCTGACAGTGTCATTCATGTTGTAATAACCTGTCTGCAGATACCATATACTTAGGCCTGTTATTCAGTATAACATTCCTCAAGCAATTCCTTCCATCTGTGTCAGTGATCAGTGGGCAAGCATTTCATCTCGTAAGTGCTGGGTTCATCTCAAGAACTGAGCTGCACACAAATGCCAGCTCTAAAAGCAGTGCTCCTTTGCTGACCATCTGCATGCAGAGCCCTGGAGTCTGCTTACAGAAGTCCATGATTTAGCCTTTGAAATGTGCCCTTTTGGCACCCTCAGAATGTACAGCTTGCCATCTTACTAAATTAGCTTTACTGATATTTTACAGTAGAGCAAGGAGTATTGCAGGAGTTAAGTGGTGCCAGTAAGGGTCTAGGAGAGAGGTCGTGCCAGTTCCCAGCCCGTTGTATTTCTTCTGGTTCAAATTCATAGTGCTTAGGTTCAGTACACTTTTTATCCACACGTCCTCAGTAGTGGTTGTAAGGAAAGTCTGAATGATGAGACAGTTATATTTAAAGCACGTATTTAATCTAGAAGAATGAGGATAGTTATCAGGAATTACATTGCTTTCCTAGACCCAAACTGCACTGTCTTTTCATATTTCTCACTGATATCTCAGACAAAATACAGATGAATATGCCTAAATATTATGAAGTTCAGTTTTAGTCCAGTAGCTTCAAAGCCTTCTCTTTTTCTCATTGTTTTCTTTCTTTATACATGAAATCAAAAAGCTGGCATAGCCAAAAACCAAGATCTGCATGCCTGGCGCTTTAGAGCCTTCTGTAATCTCCTGTCTCTGCAGTTTGAACCTTCTTGGGCCTAGCAATGCCCAACAAAACAGTGACTGTGGTTTTGGCTGAGACAGGGGGAATCAGAGAGGTCTCAAAAGGGGCATTACAGTTTCCTGTGTGCTGTGATGCTCCCCAAGGCAAAAGCTGAGGGGATAAGTGGTTAGAGCGCTTGCAGATCATGATTCCTGGCATGGGCTGGGGTAAGAGGAACACAGCACACTACCTGTGCTTCCAGTGGCAACTGAGGTGGAAGGCTTCATGTCAGACACACCCAGAATTGCCATTTTGTTTGGAAGTGCATTATCCCTATGCCCCCTTTCCATTATTCTGCAGCGCTAAACAGGCTTTATTCAAAGCATCCATGAAAGCAGCATGGAACGTACCTTTCTTTAGACCACCTAGTTAGTTAGTTCATACACTTCTGAAAGTGCTCTTATTTAGGGAAACAAGCAAAAAAGTGTGTTCCTATCTGATGAATGAGCAAGGGGTAAAGACTCTGCCCATGCCATGTCATCTTCCTCCCCCAGGAAGATTCTCCCTAGCTCTCTGTGTATCTGCACTTTTAAGGTAATTAATCAGTTTGTTAGTGAGGCATCTGGCTAAAGATCCCAGAAAGTCAGAAATAGTATCACTAGATGATTCATCATCTTCAGTGAATTATTTTTTTTATGTTGCATAAAATCTAGATCTGTAAAGCTCAAGAAAAAAAAAAATCACCCTTGCCTCCCTCAAGCACTTCTCCTAGCTACAGTGGACTAATCCAGCATAGAATATCCCTGAATAAATATTACTTGCTTCAGTTCTATTGTACAGTCTGTGTAGGCACAATCAAGCGTCAGATCACATTACTTGTTGGGGAAAAAAATCCCATGGAATGTGGTAGTGGCTCACTATAGCTGCAGAGGCTTGAGGGGATCTGCTTAATATTCCATTAGCAAGAGACCATTTAAAGTCATTTGCATCTATTCAAAAGGATGCTAATGCAGGCAACACAGAGCAAATCTTTGCATCACTTTTGAGTTAATGCACACGCGCACACACACAAAGAAAGGCTTTAGAGTATATTTGTCTTTTCATTATGCCATATAACTGAACTTGGAGGGGGGGGGAAGACCTCAACTAAAATGAACCTTATTTCATATTTATTGATCAATTAAGACTTGATTGTGGAACATTTGAAGAAATGAAAAAGTTATCCATTACCACTGTCAAAACACTCTGCTAAATAGTTGTCTGGCACGATAGATGAAAGCAACCACAAATTGTTATAGGGAAGTATTTTTTGGCCAATTATTTTTGTGACGGACTGTCTCTTTTTCCTCTTTCCTCACCAAATCTGCTTTTATAACAGGAGCTGTACTCTAAGCTGCATTCATTTGGCAAGGTTGAATCTGAAAGCCTAACCCTGACCACCCAAATTGTCAAGGAAAAGCTGCCAGCATGTGAAGTGGAAGACATTGCAAAATATGAGCAGAAGCTAAAGGATTGGAAGCAAGAACTCCTTACAGAGAGGCGCAGAGAGAGGCACAGAGGGAGGGAGGCAGAGAGAGAGAGGCAAAGAGAGGGAGAGGGAGGCAGAGAGAGGCAGACAGGCAGAGGCAGACAGACAGAGAGACACAGACAGAGACACAGAGACAGAGAGAGAGACAGAGAGAGACAGACAGACAGAGAGAAGGCTAAGCAGGAGCTGGAAGCCAGAAGCAGATGCTTTAGCCAGGTTTAACATTGGAATTCAGACTAGTGTTGCACATTCTTCTGTTAATAAACTCAAGTGCTCACCATTATTAATACTTCATTTTAATCCTGCTGCAAACATGTCTTTATGTGACTACTTGCTATACACAAATTGAACTATTTCCATTTTGCCCATTTCCTGAAGTATAGTACATGTGGTTTAGAAATCACCATCCTGTATATAATATCTATTCCTTCTGTCTTCTGCCAGGCAGGGGATGGGCTGGAGACAACACAAAGAAACAAAGGCATAAAAAGCAGCTTGCCTGTGGTGAAAGGTGTTGAGGGTAGAAGAAAAAGGAAGACGGAGCAATTTTGAATACAAGTTGTTTCACCAGACACTTCTCACAGGAAAGAATAAAGATCCCTTGGTTACTCTGAACTTCAGACACTAA